CGGAGGCCCGCATTCCGTGCGTTCAATGCCAGTTTGATTGATTGATTGATTTGTGGGGTTTAACGTCCCAAAACCACCATATGATTATGAGAGACGCCGTAGTGGAGGGCTCCGGAAATTTTGACCACCTGGGGTTCTTTAACGTGCACCCAAATCTGAGCACACGGGCCTCGACATTTCCGCCTCCATCGGAAATGCAGCCGCCGCAGCCGGGATGCGAACCCGCGACCTGCGGGTCAGCAGCCGAGTACCTTAGCCACTAGACCACCGCGGCGGGGCCGTTCAATGCCAGTTTACACGGCCGGTTTTGAATACCTACCTTGTCGGAACGAAGTCGGCATCTATACTGTCTCTAGGTGCTGGTTAAATGTGGGCTATATCCAGGAAACCAGACGAAAAAAAGTCTGGTTTCCTGGTTATATCTAGCACTTTAAGCGGGACCTGATTAATAGTGTATGTGTATGAACATCGTGCACAAATCGCGGGGCTGTAACGAATGGGGGTCTACCCTGTCTCTTGTGGTGTAACCGGGTGGAGGCAACGAACGCTGACAAGAAGAGGATATGAAAAACAAACAGGTTTATGACACTATTTACACTTATTTACAGCAAAGAAAGGTCACTGGTTTCACAAACCACGAGCGTGGAGGTTGAACCGTTACATGGTTCAGAGCGACGTCCCGCACTCTGCGGCGTCGTTTTAAGCCCTGTCGGACTCCTCCTCTCCGAGTGGAGCACCAATCACACACACACAACAAGTGAGGGGGACAAACATGCACGGTCCACGTGAACGTCCAATTTTGAGTTGTGGACACTGCACTGCAAGGTGGCGCCAGCAGGGCTCTTCCTCGTCGTGTGTGTGCCGCTAGTCGAGAGGTCTCACGATCCTGACAGCATACATCAAAGGGTTCGCCAATCTGTTCGCTCAACTAGCGGGGTGATTTGCGGCGGCCGCCACGGTCTCTTCCAAGGAAGATGCTGTCTTTGTTGTCCTCTCTGGAACTGTTTACGATGTCGTGGCGACATGACGTTTCATCCTCCAGCTAGCAGGGACAATGCCTGGCGGGCATAGGCAGCCGGCCGGTCGGCTACTTGATTGAGGATTAAAAGGAGCGCCGCTCCCCCGTCAGCTCTGGCGCCGGTCACAACAGCTTCCCCCTCGCCAGAGGAGTCGCCGAGGTCATCAGGCACCGCTGCTGCTTGAAGGAACGACGAAAGGGTCCGCATTTGAAAGTCGGGAACTCGCCTTTGCTTGCCGCATTGTCTGGATAATTGCTCTAAACTTCGAGAGCGTCTGGCAGACTTGGCGCCGAAGGGATTGAGAGCCTTTCCAGTAGATCGGCTTACGCACAATGGCGTCTGCCCAGACGAATTTCCTGGCCAAACTTAACAGGGCCCAGATGCCATGAACAACCTCTTCCTCTGTGTTAAACTGGTTACCGCAAAATGATTTTGACATTTATTGTTGCAAGTCTGCACTTCATGCTTTTTTTGGTGAGCTGATGTCTAAAATGTCAGCTTTGAACTTATCCTTGATGTTTTTTTTTTATTCCGTCGAGAATAATGTATGCTTTCTGTATGTTTATACTTATGTACACCACCTTCTGTATACCATCACTGCATGCTGAACTGTAATAGGCTGGGAAGCCTAGTCAAGCTCACAAAAGCTTTCTCTTGCCATGCTCTCTACTTCTCAAGTGGAAAATAAATGATTGATTGATTGATTAATCGAGCTTGCGACCTCGCGCACAAGACAACAGATATATCCAGTGAGCTGGTTGCAGCACGCGTTAAGAAATCGGAGTTTGAAAACAATTAAGTTGCATATAAAGTAAGTGTTTTTTTATGGTCGTGGTTAATTAATGCGATAGGGGTGTGTGACTACATGGTGAGATTCATCTAGAAGTATGAGACAGCCACTGAAACCAACCTATAATTAATACAGAGAAATCACAGGGGACATCATTGGTCGTTGTCTTTTTAAATGTAGTGTAAATATTATGACCAAATTGAAAGGGATTAAAGGGAATGAAAAATCGCCCTTTTCGTCGATGGTATCCGGACCTAAAACCTTCGAAGTGCGAGTCCGATGCTATTACTTGAAAGCTGAAGACAGACAGACAGACAGACAGACAGACAGACAGACAGACAGACAGACAAACAGATGAACAGACGGGCGGACGGATGGACGAATGGACGGACGGACGGATGGACGTTTCGCCCCACACATCATCATTCACTCCGTGGATATGCTGTAAATATAGGCATGTGCGAATATTTGAAATTTTTTAATAACGAATCGAATAACGCTGTATTCTGTTCGGGACTCGAATTGAATAGCGCACATTCGAAATACCGAATATTTTCAATTGTTTTCGAATAATCAGCAATTGCGAAAAAAAAAAAAAGATGCCCTGAAGAACGAGACGTTGAAAGAAAGGGGGTTTTTCATCACTGGATTACCCAGATGCATGCAGCACGTGTACTTGCGGAACTATTGACGCCTTATTCGTCGCAGGATGGGCGGGTTTCGCTTAAAAACTCCATTGACGTCAATGCAACAGTCTGCAATCAACTATCTTTATATACTGTGAAATTCTTCATGATTTACCTCATGAAAATTGCTTAATCTTTAGCAATCACCCTTACTTGGAGGCTGTCGTCAAAGTGCTGTATTTCTCCTTGCAGTTACAAAATAGTTTGAAGGAGCTAGTTTCTGCTCAATCAATTTAATAAAGCTTGTTTTTCGGTCAGAAGAAATCGTAATGCTCTTTTGTGAAATATTGCGATTATTTGTTTCCCTGAAAATTTTCGGGGATTTTTAGGCTGTTTTGCAAATTATCACCTTACCACTCTAGGCCTGCTTTGAAAGCTGTCTTACTTTTCGAATAGTATTCTATTTGTATTCTCATCCGATTCCGTATCACCACTATTGGACTATTATTCGATTCGGTTCTAAGATTTACTATTCACTCACCCATACTTTTTACACGATCGTTTGAATTGGGTTTAAATTCTAGGCACAGTGACCTCGCCATCTGGCGTCATCTCAGAACGCGCCAGGCGCAACAGATTCGTTTTCCGGTGAGCCTTTGAACGGTTGCGCCATCTGTCGGGTAACACGTGATGCATCCAGTGACACTTTGCAGCGCGCCATCTGTGGGGAAACACGTGATGCATCCAGTGACACTTCGCGGCGCCAAATTTGGCTCCCGCGAGCGATCCTGAAGACGATTAAAATGAACACCAAGCTAAAAGTATGCGCTGCCGGGTGGCCATTTGTGTGGTGCCCATGTTGTGGTTTTGCGTGGACGCTCGATGCGAACCGCTCGCTTCGAGACGTTCGGTTTGACCCAACGTGGCGTTCGCGAACGTCGTCTCTGGTATATTTGAAATTCTAGCGCCACTTTTTATTGAACTGTAGCACTGAAATGACCTGGCGGTATAACGATTTCGGTGCTGTACGGCTCACCAAAAGGCCGCAGTATCTAATCCTAGCCGGCCGCATTTCGTTGGGCGCAAATTGCTTAGAGGCTCGTGTGCCGAGGTCTAAAAAAGAGCGAGTAAAAAAAAAAAAAAACTTTAGAAAAAGAGCGAGTAAAAAGGGTGTCTTTTTGTCCCACAACGACAATCGTCGTCTATATTGCGTTCCATCCTTGCGCTATCGCCCCGCGCCCGGTACATTCCGGTCACGATCGACATGCCCATTATCGGGGTTACATTGCCTTCTCGATAGGAAAGTGGCCAGCGCCGAGTTTTCAAGAAAGGAAACGCACGCAAGCCTGAGGACGATTATTGTTGTCGGACAAAAAGACACCCTTTTTACTCGATATCTTTTTTAGAGTGTAGGCGCACGTTACAGAACACCATATAGTCAAAATTTTCCGGAGCCCTCCACTGCCAACATTACTGGTAACGCGGCTCCACTACGGCATTCCTCGTAATCAAAATGTGGTTATCAAAATGTGGTCGTAATCAAAATAAACTCACCGATAATAATATAGCTATTATAGCCTAATCATTTGAGAAAATGAGCAATAGTACTTTTGAAAACATTGCTATCTGTTATGGAAGCTATGGAGGACGACTCGCCCAACGGCAAGTTTTAAACGTTGACGTTGAAATGAATGGTGTTAAGTGGAGGCCAAAATAAATAAAAATGCACAGCACAATTCTGTCAATGCGTGTTAAAAGTTTGTACTTCGCGAAAAAAAAAACACAGACGTGAGATTTTGCGGCGCAGTGATAAATTAGGCCAAGTTCATTATTTTTTTTTTTCGGATTTAATACGCCAAAGAAACGTTTTTGTTGCCGTTTCTTTCTAACTATTGGTTGTTCGGCTAACATCGACGCTGCAGCATCTATGATGGACAGCTCGGGTCGTCCTTGTGCTTATCGTCCTCATCTAACTGGTTGTCTTGTGGTTCGTCGTTCGTTGTGGTCCAATGTTTCTCGTTACCGTTATGCTACGGTACAATTAGGTATGACTGATATGCCGACACAATAACGCTGACAGGAGAAACGCTTCGTGCATGCTCAGATTGTCCGGGACTGTTTCAGCTCGGGTAACTAAATATGACTCACAGTGATGCACTGCAGTGTTTCTCACAGTTTCGCCAGACGAAGGTTCGAAATTAAACTTCGGCTATCCGAAGTGGAGACTTGCCAGGCTCAATGAGCACCATGTAGATGAACTGTGATGATAAAATTCTACCTTCGAAGATATACACGAGTCCTAAAGTCTCAGGTAAAGAGTAGAACCATTAAGGGCTCGCTTTTCTCTGCTAGACACAGTAGTAATGAGAACAGACAATAATGCCAAGGACAATAAAACAATAATGACGATAATGTCAGTAATACCTTGACAATATTGTGTCTTTGGTTATCATTACTAATGGCATGGCTCAACGATATAGGTCATCATGAAAAGCTGGTGCCAAGCAGCGTAATCTTCGGAATGTCTTGACTTTTCCCCCGTGCCCTAGCCCCGCAATTTATTTGTCACATTCTAGAAGTGTACAGCGCGAGTCCACGAAGTGATGCTGCAAGTGCCAGGACAGTCGCAGCCGGAGGAACGGCCGTCCGATGCGCCGTCCCGTAGTAGGCCGGTCTTCGGGTGAACGTCTCCCGGTACGACTTGTACCTCTGGTCACCCATGGTCACTCTGCAACCCCGTACCCTCTGGCAGTTCGGGCTGTTGTAGCGCGTGCAGCAGGTGGACTCCACTCGAGTCCACAGGTTGTTGTAGCCGTGGGAGATGAGGCAGCATGTGTCGATGTCCCAGCAGTACGTGCCAGTTGGGCAGTTGTCTGTGTGAAGAAGGCGCAGCATGTCATTTCAACGTCTTTCAGCGGCCTATTACGTTTTTTTTTTTCCGCTCGTTGTTCATGTTGGAGAACCTTCGTTATTTTTTTTTTCTTTCGCTCCAGAACTTTGTGATATGTTGTAGCCGAGGTAATATGGGCCTCAACATCTTCACAGCAAGACAGTTAGAACAGAACAGAACAAAACGAAACAGAATAGAACTGAAGATGTAGCGGAATGTTCGCAATTTATTGGCAATATTTTGCTCCCTATGCGACCCAATCTCGTTTGGTGCAATGTACATAATAATCGACCATTGTTGCCAATATTTACGAGTAGAAATGTTTATGTTCGGATCTCCAGCCTATGTAGGTTTCTAGCTCTGGCTATATTAGGAGCTAGCATTTGCCCAAACTCATTTTGACGTGTTTTTAGAGCAAGCTAAAAGATGATCCACAACAAGAAGCACACGAATGGCAACATATAAAGACGGGGCACAGTAGCGCTCCGTGTGCTTCTTTATGCTACTGTTCTCAATTATGCCCTACCAACTAGTCCAGTGTCCCTTTGAAACACGATGTAGAGAGACGGGATAACAACACGGCACACAAGAATAGAACGACACAGGACGACGAGCTACTAGCAAGTTACCAACAGACATCTTTTATTCAGGAAAACATACATTTACAACTATAGTTAAAATCGTGCCGTCTAAATGAGACAATTTGTTCGAGACCTCTAGTATACGGCTGTAACGAACGTTGCCCAAGCAAACTTTCAGATTTCGATCACTCCAATGGCACATTCACGTTATGTGCTCGACTCTCAACACTAGGTCTAGCCATCAGTCTAGCTGACTAGCTAAATATGGCTTGTCCCAACTAGTTATGGCTAATACTGGTTAAACGATTGACGTCAGATAATGTTGGTTGAACTACGGTGAATTTTTGCTATAGTTCTTGTGAACGATTGCTTGATATTGGCTATTGTTTCCACCCGGTGTTGAAATTCTATTTACAATAAGCTTACTTGCTGTCTGAGAATTCTCCCGTGGGCAGTTTCTGCGAAACTTTATAAGTTTGCCTGCGATGTATGAGACGAAAACAGGGCTTAATTTTCCTGGGCGACGCCTTTACCCCGCGGAAGCTGCATGTCATGGTTCAAAGTATCGACACTAATACAACAAAAGCAACACGAGGAGCGATAACGCAGAGAATGAGAGAAGTAGCCGCAACACAATTTTAATAGCGAAACTGTTCCGGCTATCGGTAACTTGTGCTCAGCCGTGCAATACCCCAAAGGTGGGTAGCGTGACAGGATTTGGGCAAGCGCCAAAAAAAAAAAAAAGCAGCAGGTGTTATCGTTAAAAGAAAACCTTGCTCGACGAAATAAAGCCCGCGGAACACGTGAAAGATAGGCACAGAAAAAAATAAAAATATAGAGAAAAATTGAGTGAGAAAAATAGAAAGAAGCGATGAAAAGAGAAAAATAGAGAGAAATAAAAGAAGCAAAGAGACAGAAAAATAGTAAAAGAGAGTGGAAGAGATATAATGAAACAGGTAAAAAGCAGTAAGCAAAAGGAAGAAGAAATAGAGAAATAAAGGGAAGCAGGTAGAGAAAAAAGCATAGAGAAAGAGACAGAAAGATTTCAGGACGGAGAAGCACGTAAAAAGAGATAGTGAGAGTACAGTTGACTTGAATAAACTTCATTTGCGCAACGGCTGTCACTGTGCCCGGTGCTAGGCTGCTAGGGATCCACCGTTCGAGGAAAATCTTCCGAGGCCCTCGGAAACACACATGAAAAAGAGATAGAAAAGACAGAGCAAGACAGAAAGACTGAAACAAGGACAAAGAAAGAAATACAAAGCTGATATAGAGAGAGATAGAAAGACATATAGAATGAGAAGGAAGGAAATAGTAACAGATGCAAAAAATATACAAGAAATAGTGAGAAAGAGATGAAATAAGGAAAACTAGGAAGGCTGCCCAGCTACGCTTCTTCTTCAAGCTTGACATCATTAGTGCGAAGCTGTCATAATTTTGAAAAATTACACGCCAAAATTTCAGCTGATTTCAAAGAACAATTAGATAGTTAACGTTGTATAATAGTGCTGCTTCACTTAAAACGCAACACTGTCCTTGCAACAAACGCATAAAGCAAACACGCATAAACAAGCCTGCATCGAAAAAAAAAAATCCCCGCAAATCCACGAGATGAATGCTGATGATGCAGAAAAGCAGTGTGCATTTATCATAAATTGCGGCCTTTTGTTGTGTTCTAGTTAACAGAGTTTTATTTTGTTTTTGTTATTGTTTTGTTCCGTCATACGATTTCATTGATGGGTGGTTAAGTGTCGATGTTTTTACGGCGTGGGGCCATTTAATTTGTTTGTTCTGGTTAACAGAATTGTGATAACCATTCTATTGTTCACAGATGTATCGATTTGTTCACATGCACCTGCGCTAAATCTGCTGTAGACGACGGCGACACACGGACATTGCGTGGTCTTAAAGGGGCCCTGCAAGACCTTTTTATTATGGTCGGAAAACGGTGCCGTTTCATAATATAGAGGCTCCTGAGAACACGTGAGTCAAATATTATAGCGCAACACTCGGGATGTTGTTGACAATAACTTCTCAAAGTCAGCTAGCCCCGCCGCGGTGGTCTAGTGGCTAAGGTACTCGGCTGCTGACCCGCAGGTCGCGGGTTCGATTCCCGGCTGCGGCGGCTGCATTTCCGATGGAGGCGGAAATGTTGTAGGCCCGTGTACTCAGATTTGGGTGCACGTTAAAGAACCCCAGGTGGTCAAAATTCCCGGAGCCCTCCACTACGGCGTCTCTCATAATCAAATGGTGGTTTTGGGACGTTAAACCCAACAAATCAATCAATCAATCAATCAAAGTCAGCTAAATATTGCTCTTATTTACTCTTGACAAATTATGGAAGGATCTCAAAAAACACTCGTCAGAGCCGTTGCATTAACCATTGGCTGATTTGAGCATGGCGCGCTTGGTCGTTACAGCGATCGCTGCGGGAGTCCGCGACATGTCTACGCGTGCGCGCGCCATCGCACTGGGAAGTCGCGTATTCGAAGAAAAAACAAGATACATTAAATGGGCCCTGCAACACGTTTTTGAGCATGGTCAGAAAATGCTGCCGATTGGTAGTGGAGGCTCCCAACAACATGCGAGCCAAATATTATAGAGCAACACGGTGCCTGGAATTCACGATAAATTATCAAAGTCAGCTTAAAAGTTGCTTTCTCTTCTCTCGACAAATCACGCAATACGCCCAAACGTCACTCGTAGAAAGCCGACCTATCAGCTATTGGCCGATTTGAACATGGCGCGCTCGGTTGTTACAGAGATCGCCGCGGGATGCCGTCACTTGTCCACGCGTGCGCGCGCGATCGCACTGAACAAGCCTCGTATTCGAAGAAAAAAAAAAAAGAAAAAAGGGCTCAACGTCGCGAGGCGTGCGTGATGTTTTTCCTTGGCCCCTCTCATCCCTCCCTGCTTATATTCCAGCGCTTTCGTCGGGACGAGAGAAGAGAGAATGCGATTGCAGAGTGTGACAGATCTTCGTAACTCCACTTGTACTGGACGGATTCTTAAAATTTTTGCGGCGTTGAATTTGTGAGGCAATACGCTTTTCTAGTGAATTAATTCTACGGTTACTCAAAAAAAGTGTTTCGGGGCCCCTTTAAGTGCTCAAGGTCACTGTGAGTGAGTATGAACTTTATTAAGGTCCTGAGAGGAAAGAAAGCGGTGCCGAAAGCCCCGCCATCAATCCGGCGGCTCCACCCAGGTCGGGACCGGTAGACAGAGTCTCTCGGCGACGGCCCGGGCCCTCTGGACAGCCTTGAGCTGGGCGATGAGCTCTGTGCTTCGAAGGGCGGAGTCCCAGGAGGACTGGTCAGAAAATTCTGTACCCACGTTGGCAGGGCACAACCAGAGCATGTGGTCGAAATTGTTATACTCGTTTCCACAGTGTGGACATGCAGTGGAAAAGTCCGGATTAATCCTGCTTAGTGTCGTTGGTGTGATGTATGTACGTGTCTGCAATTGTCTGTAAGTGATTGCTTGTGCTCTGTTCAGATCTCTGTGAGGAGGAGGAAAAGTTCGACGTTCTAATCTATGATGTGAGGTGAGTTCGTGATATGATACAAGTGGGTCTTTGTAATCGAGGTTCCTGCAGGCTGCATTTAAGCGAGGGGGCGAACCACTGACGCGGAAAGTGAGCTCTCGCGCCAGTGTGTGTGCCCGCTCGTTTGGGTTGCCAGCAAAGCCGGAAATGTTTCCCATGTGGGCTGGGAACCATGCGATGTGTGTAGACCGAAAGTTTTCCTCCTTCGTCTCGTGGTTGAAAAGCCTGTTAACGACCGCAGCTGCCTTCGAAGAGACTAGGGCCGCCGAAAAAGTTCTTATAGCTGTTCTAGAGTCCGAGTAAATGACAGAGGCTTCAGTGCAGCTTCGAAGGGCTAGCGCAATGGCCATTTCCTCTGCTTCGTGGGTGAAGTTGGTAACTACCGTGGCTGCGTTGACGAGCGAGCCGTGGGCGTCCACCACAGAGACTGCATAGGCACCTCGATTCCAATATTTTGCGGCATCAACGAAGAGGACCTGCGTATCGTTGCACATGATCTTGGCGAGTATTGCCTTGGCTCTCGCTTTTCTTCGTCCTTCATTGTGGGTTGGGTGTATGTTTCTGGGAATCGGGTCAACTGTTATCGCTTTCTTGGCTTGTGTGCAAAGTTGGGACTTTTCTGGCGGCATGAAGAAAGGCTGAAGACCGGCTTCAAACAATATCTCGTTGCCCGCCTTTGAGAGTGAGAGCCGACTAATCTGTGCATGCCGCTGTGCCTCAAAGAGTTCGGTAGCTGTATTATGCAGGCCCAATTGTAAGAGTCACTAGGTGCGCGGGTGGCGTATTTTCTTTGCCCGCGCCGACCCTGCCTGCTTAGGGTCGGTCCACGCGCTAATCGCAAAGCCGCAACGCACGTACCGGGACCCCTGCCGCACGAAAGCGGGGGACAAATGAGCCAATCGGCGACGCTCTTTCACCCTCCGCTCGGGTGCGGCAGGTGTGCCGGCACGTGCGTTGTGGCTGTGCTGCTAGCGTATGGAATGGCCCATGACATCTAGTACTTTCACCGGGACGAGAGAAGAGAGAGTGCAATGTCAGCGTGTGACAAATCTAACTCTGCCCGTACTGGTTGGATTCGAAAAAAAAAATGCGGTGGTGCATTTGGGAGGCGATAAGCTCTTTTAGTGAATTCATTCCATGGCTAGTTGAAAAACGTGTAGCAGGATCCCTTTAAGGTGTCTCGCCCCTAATGATAATTAATACAACACAGTGATTCAGAGGGCTTGGACGACAAGATTGGTAATGTCGTGAAAGCATGGCCCGTACAATGAGCAATATCCGCACGCGCGGTTTAGCTTACCCGACCGTAGGAAGTTGTCCTGCGAGAGGGCGAACCCCTGGTCCGGCACGCCGTAGTGTCCGGTTGAGGAGGAAGAAGAGTGGTAGCCGCGAGTGCCCGTCGCGTAGTTGCTGATGGGCTGGGTGCGCGTGCTGCTGGACATCGAGGACGACGTGTGGACGGGCCTGACGTCGTCGGTGATTCGCACGCAGTTGCGGGTCCGCATGTCGCACCGGTAGCCGTACGGACAGCACTTGTTCGGGTCCCGGCAGCAGTCGTCGCGCACGGGTCGCGACAGGTCGTGTTTCCAGCCCATGCCTGCTCGTGCGTACGTGCGCGTTAGACAACGCAACCGTGTGAGTGGTATACCCAGCTGGTCATTCATCAACGTGATTCCTGATTATTGTGTGGGGTTTAACGTGCCGAAATCGACATATGATTAGACAGTTATAGTTTAGCGTTAGCGTGATAGCGTAGGTTAAGGGAATGGCGCTACCGTGCAGCAAACGTTCGTTGTAGGCAGCGTCTTATAGCGAAATAGCGCTTACGGGGCCCCTTTAAGTGCTCAAGATCACTAGTCGCGCGTGGCGTATTTTCTTTGCCCGCGCCGACCCTGCCTGCTTAGGGTGAGTGGTATACCCAGCTGGTCATTCATCAACGTGATTACTGATTATTGTGTGGGGTTTAACGTGCCAAAATCGACATATGATTAGACAGTTATAGTTTAGCGTTAGCGCGATAGCGTAGGTTAAGGGAATGGCGCTACCGCGCAGCAAACGTTCGTTGTAGGCAGCGTCTTATAGAGAAATAGCGCTTACGCGATTTACGTGCCCCCAAGTGGGATAGTGGCGCCACCTACTAGATGGTCAATAAGTTGAACAGTGAAAAGGAAAAGAAGACGAGAATGTTTGCCTATGCCACCGCCCGAAGCATTGTTAGAAGTTTATTTTTGTAATAATAAAAGTAAATAAATATGAACCGCGTACAAAACGCGAAAACATCTACGTTGCCGATTTGTTTGCATTGATGTTGTAGTTACGTCTAGGCGCGTTCGAAATGGGAAGCTATCTTAAAAACTACGCCAACTTATCCGTAATACTCGGTCACCGAAGCTAACTGAAGGCAAGCGAAGCCACTTTGAACAGTCGTTTGCTGCGAACAAGGTGACTCTTTCAACAACTACGCCAAAATCACTTCGAAGTGGGCGTCCGAGAGCGCCGCCATGTTTACGTACACTACGTGCACCCACGCTACCTTAAATCTGAAAAATACCGCGCGTACGGTAAGCGGTACGCGTAACGTACGTATCTGCGCATGCGCACTTTGATTCAGGTATCACGGTACGCCTGGTATATATATATCACAGTAAGTCCGGTATACTATAACTCTCTAATATTAGAAACGCTGTAGTGGAGAGGTCCGAAACTTTCGACCACCTGCGGTTGTTAAAGTGCACCCGAATCTGAGCACACGGGCCTACAGCAATCAACGTGATGCCCGAAGAAAAAAAAAAGGATGGCGAAATGTGGCGGTACCATGCTGCCAATTTTCCACATATTAAATTCTCTTCCGAGCAAGTGTTTACCGACTATGTACTGCAATTGTGTTCTCAAACAACAACTATATTTTGTTTGGGAACATAATTCCCTGGTGCTCGGAAGAACATATATGTTCTTCCGAGCACCAGGCCGGAAGCGCGCGTGTACCTATAATATCGGTAGGTATACCCCGCGGCAACGTTTATCCGCCTCCCACAGCAGGGGCAGATGCTCGACTATATACTTCACCAAAGCTGCGGTAAGTTAACGAGCGCCCATAGCCTTGAGGAGGCACCTTTTGCCACGAGTATCGAAAAACAACACAGTGCATGGCCGGTGTACTTGTTTTCCGCTTCAGAAAAACTGATGGGTTCTTGGTCAGCATTAGCAGTCGAACCCAGTACCTATATACCACATTGAAAGCCACGTGTGTATGCCCGCCGGTGTGGTTAGCTACACGGTAACGACGAAAATTTGTTAGCTTGTTTTGAGGTTTGAACGTCTCAAAGCTGTTGGGGCGTAATGATCTGACTATGTATACGTTCGCAAGATGTAAACTGACAACCCCAAGCAATGAAAGGAAGGATGATAAAAAACTATCTCCTAGTAAAGATAACGTAACACTTGTGAAATTTCCCGTAGTATCAGTAGCTTTGATTAAACCCGTTTTATATACGAGTAGACGGTTGCGCCGTTGATAGTTATACTCACCTTGTACAAATGTCACCACGCCAAGAAATGTCCACGTCGCGCAGCCCGGTCCTTTCATGTTCGCTGCGAAGTTTGAATTGAACTTGTTGTTTTGGGTAGATACGAATACAGATACATCCCTTCACAAGGTGTGTTCGGAGTACTGATACGCACGTACCTGTGATGTGTCGATGTCTGACGTTCGTATAGTGCAGGTATCTGCTCGTCTTCCGGAAAAGCCTTCTCCGGTCCGAGTTGGTCTTACCGTAGGACACCGTCTATAAACCAGGTCAAAACCGAACGGCCGCCGCCAGCGTTGCCGTATCGCTGCACAATGTGACCCATCGGAGGCCATGGGACTGCAGTGCGTACTGGGCGATGTGCACACAAGGTGGCCGGTGACACGCGTCAACAGAGATGCGCGCGCGAGGCTGCTTCGTGTGACGGCGATCGAACAATGGTCCCGCCTGAACGGCGATGGCCCTGCTATACATCGTAAGCCGTCCCCCGGAAATCGTCATGGCTGCTGATCCGATAGAGAGAAATAAACAAAATTGGCCGCGTATATGCGTTCTTCGCTGCAAACATCGTCGAAAGACGATGTCGGCCTTCTTGCGTGCATGGCGTCGCATTTTCTACGCAGCCGAAGAAACAGTAAGGTCTTCAGAATTACGTGTCTATGTATTTTCTAGTGAAAGAACGCACCGTTTAACACTCACATATTGATGTTGCGCCTCAGATATGCGTAATATTCGCTTTTTGGTCGACAGTGTCCGCAACTATGAACGCAGTCACGATGTCAAGATGGCTGGCCCTTGAGGAAATGCTAAAAAAAAAAAAGCCATCGCCCGAGCACTTTGTACGAATGGTTATTCAGCAAAAGCTGAAGCGTGCGGCCCCGATGTACAGTGCGTTCAACCCGACGTGGCACTGAAAACTTTCATAATTTTTGGTTACATGTTCGTGCTTCTTAATCAGGTTATAGACACACGTTTGGCTTGAGTTCACCACAGTGTTTGTCACTTGTTGCACATTGTGCCACGCATGATCGTGGTCATGGAGGCGTGTAATGAGCGGTTAAATGCTTTTCGCAATCAGTTAATCGCAGTGGTTGTTCTCGAACTACAGGTGGTCACAGACGTCGCAGCCGAATCCAAAGTGCAGCTGGACTCTGGAAAAACCTTCCGTCGGAAGCGGGCGTTCGCCCCGGCGAATACGCTGCCGCAGTCATCACGTTCACGCCGCAATTGCACTTGTTTGGCGTAAGAACTGCCGAGAGTTATAGCGCGAGAACAGAATGACGACACAGAGACAAGAAGGACACGAAGGACCGGCGCGGCATTGTTGCAAGCCTTTGACATCGCGAGCTAATTGCTGGCGTGGTTCGCAGGGTCCGGCTGCCACCGCCGCGCTTGCATTCCCGTTCGCGATTTCGCGTGGGCTGCCGGCACTCGGCCTCCCGGGCCTGTTTTCGTGCCAGGACTGCACCATCGGCACGGAGAACGCGAGATCTCTCACGTTTCCACTGTCGGCACTCTTCGAAAGTTGTCCATGGCATACCCATGTGGAAGGTTTCAGAAGAAACCGACGCGCGCGTGTTCGACGCCACGGCTGCGACAAGATGCACGACGTCACCACAACGCAGCCAGTGGCGTGCGTGCTTTGGTATGACGCTGAGAATGACGTAACTGATGGGACAGCCAATGGAGACTGGTGGTGACACCACTGCCGGATGGTCTTCTTTTTTTTTTTTTCTCCTAGCGTGAAATTGGCCGGGTGGCTGAATCGCGTGACAGATAGGCAGACAGACCGACCAAAATTTTTGCGTTCAAGTATTCCAAGAAGGGCTGTAAAAAAATTGCCCTATAAGCCAGAGGCTTGGTGGTACAGGCTGAAACAGTTCGACGTATTCTAATGTGCTCCTATAGCTTGGGTGCCCCGGGAGGCCGTAACAGACGCCGCACCGGACGTCCCCGCACGTTTCATGGCCAGTTGCAGATTTTGACGACTTCTCAGGACCACTGTAGCTCCTAATCGGTGAACGGGGAACGTACGTTGTCCTTTGAGGAGGCCGGATACTTAATCATAAAATTTTCTTGAGTCATTCTCTCCAAAATATAAAACACACACTCTGAAATCTGTGGCGTCATGTGTGCGGAGATTTCAGCGCTAATTTTAAAGATTGATCATTGACCTTCGGCTTCTCCTTTTATATCACAAAGTGACGGTCAAATTAACGACAATAAGGCTTTGAGAGTGCGTTTTATCAATCTAAACATATTCATTTACTCACTTTACCGTTCCTTAAGTGCTCTGTGGATCTAATAATCTGACACTGATATCGGTGTGACCGCCGACAAGCAGAGCCGATGTCGTGAAAAAGAACAAAAAAAAAAAAGCCATATAGACACACGGAGCAACGTATTATGGTCGGCGCCGTGTTTATGTGACCGTGCGTGTTCAGGTTTCTAGCTCATTTTGTGCTGCATGAAATCGTACCATACCCATTGACAAATATGCGAACGGAGCCATGCAGAGTTAAGCGAACCGGGAAACACCTTGCACCGCAGTTTGGTGCAAGTTCAAACGACCGTTAGACGATGCCCTATACATTATAACAGGAAAGCTGGGCCTGCTGTATAATCGCGACTGTGCCCTTGCCGGCCGCTGATCTCGTGACATTGTTCTCGTTGTTCCGGATGAGTTGTAGCGTTCCGTTTTCGCTTCGCAGCTCCCGTGGTCGCATATTCGCTTGGCGAACGGTGATAGGGAATACCACTGCGTTAACCTGCCTTAACCATTGCGTCCGCATTCCCACGGGTATGTTAACTTCGGTTGAGGCAAAACTCAGTTAACAGGAGTGAACTGCAATTACCGCCTACTGCAGTTGGTGCCTGTTATACGGGAAATGTACTTTGTTTCCAGCTGTGAAGGAGACCACCGGGTGTCTCAGCTTCGTGAATAAATATATAAACAATGAGTCGTTTTTCTTTAGTATACTGCCAAATAAAATGTATTTTCTGTATAATAAACCTTTGCCGCTTGCACCTGGAGTACGCGAGTGCATCATAAGGCGATATTTGGTGGCATAAGCAATGGCTGGCCTTGCAACTATGGGCAAAGTCACCTGCAGTACCTTGCGGTCAGACGTGCGTAAGCAAAACAATTCATACTTTGTTATGTTTGTTATGGCTACGGTGCCTAGACACTATAGTAATGGTCGTTTCTCCTCCCTCTCTCTTTTTCTCTCTCATTTTTCCTCTCTTTCGTGTGGGGTAGCAAACTGCATTTATAGTCTAGTTAACCTTCATATCTTTCTGATATTTTTCTCTTCTCTCTGGGTGTGTTTGTTTGGCACATGGGTCCATTTGCCAGACCACTTGACTACTGAACGTCTTTTGTGTTGAGAAAGATAGTTGACGTGTTTTCGGGGAAGTCGTTCCGGGCTCCATTGGAGCCAAGCGGCCTTCGAATGTCAACATGAGTGCCTCCATTTTTGATTCGTTAGCTTATTTAAAAGAGGTGGTGAATCTCAGTTTTGAGCAACCACTGTTCGGGAGACAACTGCAGTTACGCTTTCAATCTAACTGCAGTGTGTATAACTATACAGTTCAAAGAGAACTGTAATTAACGTTCCTGTGTAAATGATTTAATAATGAACAAGATAACGAAAAAAAGATAAGAAAAAACTTGGTGACGCTAGAATAAGCAAATACGAGGTGTTCGCTATGGAAAAGCATAGATCATTCCATTCTTGAATAACTTCAGTTGGATGACGTGTGTCGTATTACCTTCGGCCTCAGCCGGATTGCTTTGGACAAGGAAGACAGCGCCTCTCCTGGCGTCCTCTTGTCTGGAGGAAGGAAAATAGGAGGAAAAGAACGACAGGCAGGTTAACTAGTCTATAGGCAGCCGGTTTGCTACCCTGCGTATGGGAGGGGGATGGGGGAGATGAAAGATAGAGAGCAGAGAGGGAAGAGATAGAAACACAGCACATTCGGCAGCACACGCGCACAAACTCAGTCATAGTCCAGTCTTGTCTTTCGTGGTGTGTGACATTGCTGTCACAACCGCTTGTTCAAGTCCGTGTCGCGTAGGAATTTCAAGAGAGCTTTTGTCGCCTTCTCTTGCAATGTATTCTCTCGGGCACTTGACAGAATAGTGTCCACAGACATTTGGCTGTTGTCGATGCGCGCAAAAACGGACGCCAGTGACTGTCTCTGGATGTTATACAACGGACAGTCGCACAAGATGTGGTGTAGCGTCTCTTCGCAATGACAGGCACCGCAGAGAGCGTTGTCGGCCATTCCTATGGCAAATGAATAAGATTTTGTAAATGCCACTCCTAACCATAAGCGATGAAGAACGGTGGCTTCTCTTCGGTCGAGCCCAGTAAGCAAGCGGAGAGCTATCAAAGAGGACTGGAGGTGTTGACGATTCGTTTCGTTGCCTGGTGGGCACCATAGTGAAAACGGGATTTCACGCGCAAGTCGTCGAAGATTACTGGCAGCATCGGTCTGCGAAAGTGGTATGGCTTCTTCCCGTGTTCCTTCAAGCCGTATAATGTACATTAATTCGCTTAAAGGGTTACTCACCACGTTTGACAGTTTTGAATTGTTGAGTGCAATACATACATGGGGCGTTCACGATCACGTCTGCCAAAATTAGCAACGCCCGGAGCCGCGAATATGGGTCAAATTTAAAGATGAACGTGAAGATGGACATGGTCGCAAGGGTCCGAGGACGGGGCACCACTCGGCGAGAGCTCTTGTCGGCGTCAGGAGATGGCGGAGGGGGATCCCAGTCGGCCAGAGCTGCGCTGTCGTCGGAAATCGCAGGGGCACAAATGGTCGGCACGAAATCCAGAGAGCGAGTCCCGGGGGCCGGGCTTGCTCGAGAAAGTCATGCGTACGTGACGTTTGCTATAGGAAGCCGGAGAGGCTGAGGAAGATATTTGGCTTGCGAAGGCTACGCGGGATGAGCGGCAATGGTTTCCAGCTCGCCTTCTCGCATCATCATTTAGCGCCGGTTTAAAAATTCTAGTTTTATCAGCTCGTGATGAACCGATTGAAAAAAAAAAATTTGGGGGGACTTAATGCTCTTCATCGGACACACAAGTGCCATGGTCTAAATAAAATTTGTTATAGGGCCCGGTGAGTGGCTCTCTAAAGCCCCGTTAGGAAGTTCTTGCTTGCTCATGTGGTACGAAGCGTCACGCTTGCTATAGCTGCAGATGATGCAAGAAGTGACCGAAAGATTGCGTGTTTCTAATTAACACATGTTCACTCGCAGATGTGCCGTGATGTGGTAACTGTAGCAGCATGCGCAACCGACAACGACTAGCGAAGAACACGTACAAAGCGAGTACTTTCAACAGGCTGTTGAAAGTGTGTGTGTTCTAAGCTAGTTCTTGACTGCTGCGCTGATATTAAATTTATTTAGTGATGCAGACTTACCGAAGTTTTCATCCTCCACACCATGACGCTTTGCAAACTATGAGCGAAGCATCATGAGTATATTTATTAACCACTTTAATGGAAATAGGAAGGACGGAAGGAAACAAAAGGTGACAGTGCAGGAAGGTTAGCCGGGCAGATGCCCCGTTACCGACCATACGCTAGAAAAATGGGACCGGCGAATAGAGAGATGATAGAAAGAAAAGAAACAAAGAAAGGAATTAACAGTAAATGAGTGCACTTCAAGTTGTAAAAGACTATGTCTACTTAGGGCAGGTAATAACCGCGGAGCCGAACCACGAGATTGAAGTAACTAGAAGAATAAGAATGGGGTGGAGCACATTTGGCAAGCACTCTCAAATTATGACAGGTAGATTGCCACTATCCCTCAAGAGGAAGGTATATAACAGCTGTATCTTGCCGGTACTTAGCTACGGAGCAGAAACCTGTAGATTTGCAAAGAGGGTTCAGCTTAAATTGAGGACGACGCAGTGAGCAATAGAAAGAAAAATGGTAGGTGTAACCTTAAGAGACAAAAAGAGAGCAGAGTGGATTAGGGAACAAACGGTGGTTAAGGATATCATAGCTGAAATCAAGAAGAAGAAATGGACATGGGCCGGGCATGTAGCGCGCAGACAGGATAACCGCTGGTCATTGGGGGAACTTACTGGATTCCCAGAGAAGGCAAGCGGGTTAGGTGGAGACAGAAGGTTAGATGGGCAGATGAGATTAAGAAGTTTGCGGGTATAAATTGGCAGCAGCAAGCACAGGACCGGGTTAACTGACGGAACATGGGAGAGGCCTTTGTCCTTCAGTGGACGTAGTCAGGCTGATGGTGATGGTGATGATGATGATGATGATGATGATGATGAGCTGACACGTTGTGTCGGTTGCGCTATACAATATTCAGAGGTGTTAGCATAGGACTTCTTGTTGTGTGTGGCTGGCTAATTTAGGAGTAGTACAGCGCGTACAATCGACATATGATGATAGCGGTTGAAGGTACCTTCTTTCTTGTTTTGTTTTATTGTGCAACCGTTCACTTACATGCGCTTCACCATAACGTGCATTTCTTTTCTGGGTTCATGGGGGCATTGTTCTTACAACGGAATACGTCGGAGAACTCCTTAAAGTTCTTCATGGGCACATTGGCTCTGTAAAAATGAGAAAAGAACGGAAGACCAGTTGCGTTTTTTTAGGTATGTTGATAGAACACTCAACAAGAACATTACTTGTTGTTGCATATGTGGGCTAAGCATCTGCAAGAGCTGATCGAATATTGCTTCCTTGACCGCAGCTATATAATATAGTACACCAACTAGTACTAACTGGTGTAACATACTAACTAGCTAGTAGAACATAGCGTAGCTACATGGCTATGATATGCTCTACTATATCGTGTGTGGTTAACGAAACCTCATCATAGTATAATAAAGAATAGTTTATTGTAGTATATTATGTTATAGTATAGTATAACATAGCATAGTATAGTATTGCATAGTGGTGTTAACAAGGCAATAAATGAAAAAGCGTCGTTTGCCGAGTGGTTTTGAAGCTCGCCTTCCGATCGTCTTCGCGATATTATAAACATCCGTTAAAAATCAAAAACGAAAAAAAAAAACTCCAGCCCTATACTTGCAGTGTAATGACTTGCATAGATGTACAGAAGATCTGAGGGCTGACTGGAAGGACCACTGATTGATATTTTAATTTTTATTTTTCAATGTTGGTCAGTCTGACGCACAATCGGGAGTTTTTCGCGGATCAGAAAGCTCCAACAATGTCACTCCAGGCCCACATAATAAGACTTACCTGTATGGAGCTGGACTGTGTACATCGTATTGAATTTGCTGCCTCAACTTCTCCACTCTGGTTAAGCTGCACCATACCTGCAATGAACGAGCCACTTTGTTAGCTGGCAGTGCCGATGAATTGACGCGAGGGGGCGAAGGGAATCAGGATAACGGCTCCCTTGAAGGAATGTTGCGAGGCTTCGTACCATTGCTTTTGCGATGAAGAACAGCTCTTTGCCGGACAGGTGGGTTAGGCCCGGTAGTCTTATGTCCTCTCCTTCTTTTTTCAGCAGGGCTTCGTATGCCTGCAAGGTAAAAGGTGTGTCCGGCAGGTCACCGCCTCTCGCTCTGCTTCGCTGATAGTCTTTTCCATCTTAAAACAGCGTATAAATGAAACACAGAAAATGAACCACACTTCTCAAGAGCATTATGTGATTCACTTCTTGAGTGTGGAGCGATCTATATTAAAAGCGAAGCTCCTGAAGAAATCGTCTCTTGTATCTCGTGTGACAAAACTATCGTCATCGTGATTCATGACCAATCAATGTCTTTGGAAGACGCACATTGAGTACATTGCAGCAAAGGGAGGTCGTGTGGTGGGAATATTAAGCAAAATCAGTAATAGTCGGTTACGCATGCGGAGAAATACTCTTTTCTCAGTGTATTGTACGTTCGCCCGGAGCTTGAGTTTGGGTGCGCGTTATACGTGGGGGAACCTGCTTACAAGATACATACTCTGGTAGTCATAGAGAGACAAGCCTTGAGACTATGCTTAGGTCTCCCTGAGTTTGTTGCAATTAAGATCTTGTATCTGGAAGCTAGGCTTCCCTCAATCGCTACCCGTTTTAAATTGCTAGCTACACAGCCATTTCTCAGGCTGTATGAATCGCCGATAAGGCCCTTAGAAACAGTTTTTATTGACTGTCCTGACTTGTTTTTGGGACAATACTGGCCGAGATTTCGTATACCCCGAATTCTGGTTATACAGCGCTTTTTAGATAAATTATGCGTTCAAATTGATGCTGTTTCTTTAATGAGTATCATTAACAATGCTGCCAAATTACAGTTTGATGATATCTTTCCGAGAAATTCAAAATTGATGCCGCTCAGTTTTTTAGAACCAATATTCAGAGATTACCTGGTACATACGTCAATACAAGCAGTCATAGCGACATTATACGTCACAAAGTTAAGAAAAATGTGGAATTGTTTTTTTTTTTTTGCCTGCCCTAGATTGGTCACCAAGGTGGAAAGGTGGGCATGTTGGTATTCCATGTTTAAGAAGGGTAAGAGCGCACTGAATACGAATACACAAAGAAAGGACACGCACACACACACACATAGCGTCTGTGTGTGTCCTTTCTTTGTGTATTCGTATTCAGTGCGCTCTTACCCTTCTTAAACCTAGATTGGACTTTTTCGCTCCGCCTTCCAGATTTTGTGCCCATCTTTGAAGCAGAATGTTTTGCGATAATTGTAGCTCTCCGTAAATTAACGGCTTCCGTAAGTTCCGCAGTAATTTTTAACGGATTCACTATCAGTATGTGCCTTCCTTACTGCAGATGAGAACTCGCAGACTCACAATGCTTTCAAAGCATTAGTTTCCTCGCATCTCAATCTGATCAAACTGGTCTGGGTTCGCGGACATAAGGGCATATATATGAATGAAATGGCAGATGCGCGGGCAAAGTCATCTTTAAATGGGCCTGTTATTTAGGTATTACCGGCATCGAAATTCCTAATAGGTGCTAAATTAAGAAGGGAACTGCTGTTGGAGGAGTTTTCTACACCTTCACTAACAGCCACATCAGAATTCAAGCACTTAGTGTATCATTGGAATAATAAAATATGTCAAACGCGAGGAATGAAAGTCGCAATTACTAGACTGCGCTGTCAAATTGTGCAGCTAAATTTATATTTACACAGAGCTGGTCTGGCAGCCTCCCCTCATTGTCCTGTTTGTGGTGTAAATGAGTCAACTGAGCATTACCTCATTTACTGTAATAGATCATCTGCCCTATACGCAAAAACACTTTAGGTGTCGTTTGCCACCTTTTAGGAATAGATTTAAAAGCGCAAAATGTGCTTTCTTTCGGAGCTTTGTCTGTTGGCCACAGTGACAGGAAGATTGTTGACACATTGCAGGAGTTCGTTAAAAGGTTCGAAGAGGTTTAAGTGTTGAAAATATTCTTCGGTAGATTTTATGACTTTTCTAAGTTCCCTTTGAATCAAATATGCCGCTTCATTGCATTACACTACAGATTATTTACCATTCAGCTACCAAATTCGTCCTGTTGCATCTTTCTTTTATTTCTCGTAAATAGATTAATCTTAACCTACTATTAAGGAAGCAATTCATGAGAACTATCTGGTTCTTGGCCAGTCCCCCAGCGTGAGTGTGCCCCACATTGTTAAGGATCTTGACTTGATTTGAAATGGCTGCGAAGTCTTCGAGCCGTCATCACAGCATCGCAGACCTTAAAGACGAGCACCGCGAGGGAAGAACAAAGAACGACAAGGCAAAGATGGAGGCCAAACTTGTCGACAACCTCGTTACAGCCAAGTTCTAGCCGAGTCCAACCTCGCTATCAAGTTCACGCGAAGTTCAACCTCACTTCGTCTGCCTGAATACAGCAATAGATAAGCATGAGACCGATCAGATTTGCTGCTTACCGAACTGTGCGCGGCTTAGCGCAAGCTTTGAGTCATTTTTTTTTATATGCTTCTTCCAGAATGACACGAGGTGAGGACAGGGCCGCGCAAACGTATACGAGTATGTGTTACTTTCCACGCGCAGTTGCCGACGGACCCCAATGCAGAGTGTGAATTTACGTGTTTGATACATTTGAATAGTCTTTCTCAGGGTTTCAGCTGTAAGCCTTTTCTGCTTCGGTGACGTATGGGCAGAGACGATCTTTATTAAGGCGTACTTGTTATGGCGGCTGACTACTGACGCACAGGTTTGAATCCCGGAGAAAATGGGGCGAAAATGATTAAGGCACGTGTACTTAGATTTGGGTGCACGGCTAAGAACCCCGGGCTGTCGAAATTTCCGGAGCCCTCCACTGCGATGTCTCTCATTGTCATGTGGTGGATCTGGGATGTTACGCCCCTGCAATTATTAATTATAATTATCTTAATTAGTCGGAAGCCTTAGATGACACTTCATACTTGAGGATACTGACAGGACTTTATGTCGCAGAAGAAGGCTGTGAAGGCGCTCCTGCGCTTCTTGCGTTCAACCGGCCTGTCCAAACGACTTTCATCGGAACTCCCTGAATGTGTGCGCATGTGAATTTATTTCTAATTTATTTTATATCCCTCTATCTCTATCCTCTTTCCCACCCTTTTTCCCCATCCCTGTACATGGTAGCAAACCAGTTGTTCTGGGTTAACCTCCCTGTCTCTTCCTTTTACTTATTTATCTCTCTCACTCTCAAACTTAAAGATGGACCGTCGGCGCCAATGCGAGGAAAACAAATAAAAAATCATCGCATGATGAAGTCAACATGAAGCTATACATACAGTGACAATGTTTCGGACGCATAGTTTGCTGTTATATCACTAAAGGGAATTCTGACGCCATGGGGGCTTCAACACACACACAGTGCTTCAGATGGGAATGATGGGTAGTACACAAATTTGTGTAATCTTCGTTTTTCCGGCTTCGTTTGGCTTCGCGTGGCTTGGATCCGGTTTCGTCACGAGTGACGACAATCGGCAAATGTTCAGCAGTTGCACTTCATCACGTTGACCTTTTAGGCTCACCGATTCAAATCGGCTCACGATAGTTCGCAACGGTCCGTTGTTTTGTTCGAAACAAAACCAAAACACAACCGGTAAAACAAAGCCGCAAGTGTGTTAGAAGTCCGCAAACACGACAGCTAGACAAAAAAAAAGTGTTCACTACCCATCATTCCCATGGTGTATGAACGATTGCAGTGTCAGAGTCCCCTCTAGTTAATAGGAAACTCTTATGCACCGAGTGTACCCAACATAACACGAATATGTTTCCCGATTGGCGCTGTACCTGACACGTGGCCCACGTGACCCTCGAGTGTCCATGCAATACAAATACAGATCTATCGCCTCCGCCCGACACCCATGGACGCTGGTAAAGAAAACGAACACCTTCTCGAAACGTGGGAGGCCAAGTTTGCCTTGGAGGAGGTGGACCGACAATGACGTCTCGTCGCCAGGGCCAAGGAGGCAGCGAAGGCCAGAGGGTTCCTGGAATGAGGAGACCTCCCACCTAAGATGAACGCGGAACCTACACCGCTACATCGTTTCGAAAAACAAACATTTATTCCTCCTCCTTATCTATAGTTTCGGACGCTATGATGAAGTCACTATGATGTCACATAACGTGGTTTGGGTGACGTATCACGAGACGTCGTAGAATGGCCAAAGTTGGGCCCATAATGAAAGTACAATGCAAAACCAGGCGAGGGCAGAAATCTTGCGATGCTTCCGATCATGGTGGTCACGTTGCCGGCAGGAAGGTTTCGGAGGTGGCAGCAAGAGATGGTCACTAAATCAACTTAAACGACAGGTTTGTAGAGTGTATTGTAGACCGTGTGCTATTCATGGTGTACAGTATTGTATAGCAACCGTACTCAGTGCGCTATGTGCAATGTGTACACCATGGATCAACCCAAATGCTGTGCCATGCGAGAACAAAAGGTGCAGGAACCTCTGTCAAGCCGTAATCGTGGATTTTAGTCCCGGCTCCTTGTAATTCGAAAGAAAGGAGACAATAACTTTGATTTATTGGTTGACTCAAGAAAAAAAAAGGCTATCGCTTTGAGTCGTCTTAGCCGAAAACCTGTGAGTTTTTTCTCCCCCCCCCCCCCCCCCCAGTTTCGGTAGCAGCACGTGAGGTGTGTGCGGGTGCGGGCGGGATCGTCGGCATGCAATTCACAGGTGACCACAATTTACAGTGCCATCAGATTGGATCCAAGCCACCGGAATGTTGAGGGATCTACTTCAATCTAATTCAAAAGCAAGCAACGCATGCCATGAGAAACCACTGTGAGAACTGGCATCGATGATGTTGCCTGTGTCACTAAAATTCATAAACGAAGCAATATAAGAGCTGACACGAAAGAAACGGCGCTTCTTGCCAAGGCCTCACCTTGAAGGCCATGCGCACACCTCCGTTATCGGCAATGTTCTCGCCAACGGTGTTCTTCCCATTAAGCTGTATGGAAGAGGAGGGAGAATCGAATTATGGGTATTTCGAATTAAAACTTGGCTCTCGCAAATGTGCATGCAAAATATCTATTCGCGAAACATTGCCTTGTTGACCTGCATCTCTATATGTCGCTTTCAAGAGGACACTGTTATCATGGTTGTTGGCTGAATTTCAAAAGTGGCGTTGTTTTCGTTGGTGCTGATAAAGAAAATCAATAAGACTAATTGTATATGTATAATACGTAAAGTTCGCTCAAGTAAAACCATTTCTTGGTAAGTGCTCGTATGCTCCTACGCTACTCGTGCCTACCTTCTCCAACCCTTTACTAAAAGGTGTCCTCATATATAATTAATTACCATATATAATATTAATAAATATATTCGTATATAATAATGAGTTACTGTTTTTTTTTTGGTGGTGTGCACTCGAGATACACAGTGGAAGGGTGCACACGTACTATTTAAGTTATGAAATATACTCAAGAGCTCGTAAAAGTTATCTAAAAACGAAATATCAAATGTGTCTAGGCGGTGTATAAAGTGCCATAGTCAAGCAGTGGGCAGTATAATTTCAGTTAATTTTTCAGTTTGTGGAATAAGATGTGTGCTGGTTTTCTTTTCTCTGCGTTGAAACTTGTTTGGCCAAAGGATAATTTTGAATTTCGCCTTTTTTTTAACAGTACGATTTGCAAAGTCAGATAATTATTGCTGAACTGGTACTTTAGTTATTCCTCGGGTTTTAATAAGTTTGGTTGGTCAAATTCTTGACGATTAAAGGCATTTCCACGCGCTACCCACACGGCCGCAACGCACGTGGTGACATCCCTTGCCGCGCCAAAGCGGAGTGTGAAAGCGTCGCCGATTGCGTTGTGGCTGTGCAGATAGCGCGTGGAAAAGGTACTAAAAGCAATGCTGACGGTATCCTTGAAATAGCACAGATCCACATGATGTTTTAAAAGGGTTTTCTAGTCTAACCAGACTAACGACGTCTGAATAGCGTGGCACTTCATGACACTGCAAACGCTGTTATAGATTAGAGTTGCGGCTGGTGCTAATCGGTGATTTGAGACACATCGAATTAGTATATATATAGCTTAGCAATTAGTGCCTGTGTTTAGTACGCCTGCCATTTCGTAACGCGTGTAAGCTAATATGTAAACGAGGATGAAAAACGGAATACGCAAGTAACAAAGCATGAAGCATCCGTCATAAGTATATATTCCGGCTGTACCCGTTACTTTCCCAAGAAACCTTGCTGCGGATAGCTATTTATTATAAGTGCAATGTCCTTAGAAACTTACTTAATTGAAACAGTTTCGCGCACTCACCGTCATGTTAGTCGTCTTGTCAGTGATGTTTCCGTATTGGTATATAAGACATCTCGCCTTCTCGTTGAATTTCTTACGAGTTGTATTGGTCCACCATCGCTTCAATGCACCGTCCGCATCAAACTGGCTTCCTTAAAAAAAAAAAAAACAAGATGAAGATTGGCTAGGATATATACAAGTCAAGGACGGCTATAGCAATGCTTAGCCAGGTTTTATCCTAAGCACATTAAAGCAAGTGCAATACTATAGCCAGCAGTCAGCTAAGCTATTCATGATAGTCTGTTGAATGTTAACGAACTGAGTGGAGCGCTGCGACGAACCTTTCGCCCCCCCCCCCCCTCCCCCATGAACGGGTACCTTGCGCACGCGTATGGGTATAGAATATATTTTCTGTGAGACATTGGGCGCCGTCATATCGGTAACTGCTAAGCCGACATTTTCCCATTTTAAGTGCGGAGAATTCTTAGTCGTGCGATGTCGCCGCGCTTCGGCGTAGGCGCCGTCCACACCTCCACTGCGCATGCTCAGCTTGAGTTGTCTCCCTCGAATGCGATGATGATGATGATATGTGGGGTTTAACGTCCCAAAACCACCACATGATTATGAGAGACGCCGTAGTGGAGGGCTCCGGAAATTTTGACCACCTGGGGTTCTTTAACGTGCGCCCAAATCTGAGCACACGGGCCTGCAACATTTCCGCCTCCATCGGAAATGCAGCCGCCGCTGCCGGGACTCGATCCCGCGACCTGCGGGTCAGCAGCCGAGTACCTTAGCCATTATACCACCGCGGCGGGGCTCCCTCGAATGCGGGCAATGTGTATACAAGCGGCGGAGCGCGCGTTCGGAATTCAGTAAAATGGCGTCTCCTCTCCGTCCAGTATACGCCGACGGCTCCAAGCAATTAAAAGACATTCACTCTAACCTTACACTACTCGCCTTCGACTCTCATTCGTTCAGTAAATAAGAGTAATAAAGATGAAATAGCAATTGAGCATTCCCAAACCATATCCAATTACGCAACCTTCACGCGGTATACCCACACCACTCTGCGACGCACTTATACTCAAGTCCCCCCCACCTTCCCCCCCCCCACCTTCCCCCCCCTTCCGTGAGAAGATGTGGGCGTCAATTATTCGCATGTTGAGACGTCAATCATTAAGGCCATGAAACATTGTATGCACCAACCCGACCGTTTTCATTCGTGTGCGCCTACCGCAACACTGTTTGTTTAGCTGTTAAAAAGGCAAAACAAAATGGCTAAAAGCCCAATATGGCGGTATACTAACACCCATCCATAAAACAGTCTTTAGTGTCACTAGCTCTGACTATAAATAAGAACAACGGTTTCTTAAATGTGTACTGAAATTAGCTATAGTGGTTGTAACGAGCGGTCGGCAGGTGCACGTGATTGTAGAACATTTCTTTTTTTATTATTGTGCATGTTGCATATCTCATAAACAGCAAATTACCAAGTCTGTGTTGAGGCAGCGTTCGTCTGTGTGTTCTCCGTCCATGTTAGTTATTTTTTAGTTTTTAGTTTCAATAATCTGTTTTTAGTTTCAATAAACCAAGTACAACTATGCTGCAAAATGAACGATCACTTGAAAACTGACACAAAAGTGCCATTCGCTGCAGTTTAAAATATGCACATAAATTCGCCACAAGGTTATTTTCAATACATGAAACGTGTTCGAAAATATCTCACCTTTGTCGTCAAAACCGTGCGTCATTTCGTGTCCGACTACGCCGCCGATAGCTCCGAAATTGAGTGAACTGTGGGGGTAAAAGAACCAGACATCCGTGTTACGTTTTAGCTAACTCGGTTAAAAGTTTAGGCGCGTTTTTATACCGAATATCTTATCTGACCGCCACTCAATGGTTCTATAAGAAGCGGTCTGTCTTGATCGGTTAGTGACCTAAAAGGGCCACTCACCACCCCTCGCTTAAAAACGAGGGTGTGATTTTCTCCTCTCCTTCACACACTCGATGCATCCTCCTCACCCTTTAGTTCTTGAATGCGCCTGAACAATATTAGCACTATAAGCGCTAGCGCCTACCAGGATTTTCGAGCCGAATGTGCTGTGTTTATCTCTGTTCCCCCTATCTTTCATCTCACCCATCCCCCTCCCATGCGCAGGGTAGCAAACCGGCTGCCTATAGGCTGGTTAACCTCCCTGCCGTTCTTTTCCTCCTATTTTCCTTCCCTCCTTCCTTGCGTTTCTCGGCTGCACGCAGTTTTTATCGCCGCTTGCGCAGTTGCGAACACACAAAATGAAGTTTGATCGGTTGATTCAGGACGATATTCGTGCCAGACAAAGAAGAACGGATGGGCAGCGCTGCATGACAAAGCAGTGCAAGAGACAAATCACATGTGATATTTCGCGTATATCACCCAATCGAGAACATGTATGGTGTAGACGTCACGAGAACTACTGTCTACGTCACAGTAGTGCGCGAAGAAGGACGAGAAATATGAAAGAATATTGCGCTCTTTTTTGTATTTTGGGAGCCTGGGGAGTGGCCCTTAAGTGTGGAGATTAATGAAGTCCAATTAAAGAGAACGATTTCGTCTCTTGTCGCTAAGCATCTATTTAAGGTATCTGGCTGCGTACAGAGTCGCTCTCGCTCAGAACCGACGGTAAGTTCGTTTAATAATCACTCAGCGAACAGTGAACGCGTTGCAGAGTATACATACGGAAGAGTGTATCCGAAATTGTAGACTGCAACGCGACCCTCGCCTCGTGTATGTAGATTGACCTTAACTAGAAATGAGAATCAGTGCAGTAGATTACCGCGGGAGACCATGTTGATAGAAGGCACCTTGAAGTATGCCCGATGGGTACACTGAAAAAGACAGAAATGAAGACATATAGAGGCACTATAGAAGGGTACTAGTATAGAAAAATAAAAGTCGGTTTCGCCGCGAGGGTGAAGCAAAACGAGTTAACAAGGAGTTGCGCTGTAGTAATCAATTGGAACAATATAAACTCCTTTAGCAAACGCGGCTGCGGCATGGAGCGAAGCGACTTTCGTTCTTTATGTGGCTCGAGCGCAAACTTTGTTATCAGAGCGCAACTCGTGCAACTCCTATGACACATTTCCTCGTATTCTTCTTTTAGAGCTAAGCGCTGGAGCATATGGAGGCTATACACCGTGTAAGTTGGTATAGAGCATATCGAACGCGTTATTCGAAGGTCGCAGGTTTGGTTCCTGCCCATGGCAAGTCATCTTTTCATACACTTTTCTTTTTACATTTACCCCAGGTGGTCAAAACTTCCGGAGCTCTCCACTATACGGTGTTTCTCATAATCATATAGTGGTTTATGGACGTTAAACCCCACAATACTTACGCATATCTTCACATTTACATTATAGCTAGTTCTAACATTATCCCCTATACTTTCCTTGGCATGATTGTCTGTTAGATATCATTAATATTGCGTCTAACTAGAAAAAAAAACGGACCCTTAAGTACACACTTCATTGCTTCATATATATGCCTGGTCACTCAAACATGATAGTATAATCACGTGAAAAAAATGTGCTCTTACTCATTTCGTTGGTAGTCGGCCTGTAAAGAGCGTTTACAATGGCCGGGTGTGCAGCCGAGCTGTGGAGGAGTAAAAGTTAGAGCAATCAGTACACTTTTTTTTTTCTCTCAGTTATCATATTTATCACCGTGAAAGCGCTGTTTTTCTTATGCAGAGTAGCGTAGTCAAGGGCTTCAATATAGTCTTATCCATATTGGCTCTTTAATGTGTTTCTCGGTTTACACAAAGTGGCGTGCTTGCTTTCATCTCCTGCAAAACGATACCTGAAGTAAGACCTGGCATTTGGGGCGTGAGGCCCGCTACATATCATGGTAACGTTAACGAATATACATAAACAATATTGATGTTGCTGGACATGAGAAATATATGTTGGAATATCGAATAGCGTTGAGAATCTGACATGGATTGCGTAAGCAGGTACTAGATGTTCCGAAAATACGAAGCCAATATCATTGCTTTTATATCTTCTCCACGATTTGTTCATGTCATTGCCTTCAGCTTGATTAAGTTTCTGTGAACTTACTTGTCCTTGTCGAACGGTCGTCTGAGGTTCATAAGTGTTCGCATCCGGTTGTTTCGTTGTATCGCGTGATACATCTCCAGAAAAGAAGCGTTACGGTATAGCCGAGGTATCTGGAAGAATACATCATTCACATCCCGAGATCGGTGCCGACATAAAGTTGCTTGCATTATGCTACATTTCAACGTTAGCTTGATTCCAGCATGTTCCGGTGAATGTGCAAGGGTGGTAGAGAAAGAAAGAAAAACAAACAAAGAAAAATTGCTGCACTATACTCACGTATTTGTAAAGTTCCTCCAGGTATGTCACGTTTAGCAGCCAGCTCGGGTATCCTATTCTCACGCCCATTTTCGACAGCTGAAATTGCGAAATGGTGCTGTATGTTAGCGCATATCGAACGTATACTTTCCACTGGCAGGTGTATGATTTGGTAGTTTTCAAGTCGTACATCCAGGCTTGTAATATGAACGTTACTGTCTGCAAACTCCACAATCAGTTGGCATCGTTGGGCATACGACAAGGATAGCGTAAAACACTGCTTCACACATCATTCACCTTGTAGCGCCCGTGTAGTGCCACCGCTGCAAACGCGTCAGCCCATTGACTGACAATCCCTCCCCCCTCTCTCTCTCATATTTATATTCCCTTTCCATTCCCCCAGCGTAGGGTAGCAAACCGGGCATGTGCCTGGTTAACCTCCCTGCCTTCTCTCTTGTTGTTCTTGTCCTCCTGTGTAATACACACCCATTGCCAAGCTTTATACCTGAAAAGGGTCATGAACTACTCCATCGGGCTTGGTCAGAAAGCCTATCCTACGGGAAAGCCGGATCTTGCTGCCGCGTAGGAGAGTTTGGAAGGAGAGAGCGGAGTTTCCATTTTCTCAGCAGGCCTCTTTTCGTACAGAGGCGTGCGCACAAACGTAAACGCGCACCACAGCGCTCGCCGCACCTGTCTAGACGGACTATCCTGCACTGTATTTCGGGCGCGTGCTTATGTCAGGACTGCACGTGAGTATAATTAAGGGTCAAGGAAGACGCCACAATGAAAAATTTGTTACCCC